AGGAATGACTGGTCACTATGACACAAACTGACCACCAGGGGGTAGACGCTCAATGCAGGAGCTGCCCTCTTGTGGTCAGTGAGCTCCCACATGGAGGAGCTCTGCTCAGCCACAAACCAGGCTGATGGCTGCCAATACAGCGGTGGTGGTGGGAGCCTCTCCCGCCTCCTCAGCAGCGCTAAGGATGTCCGACTGCAGCTTATGTCTGCTCCCCGCTGGCAAGTGGACATTCCCTGAGGGCTGCCGGGCTGCCAGAGGAATGTCTGATTGCCAGCTTAGGCCCAATCCCCCGGGGAGAAGGCCTAAGCCAGCAGGTGGTCATCCCCCGAGGGGTCCCAGACTGCAAGAGGACACAGGCCGGACTGAGGGACCTGCCCCCGAGTGTACAAATTTTTGTGCACCGGGCCTCTAGTATTATATATAATTTTAAGCCTACTTTTTTATAGAACAAACATGAATTATGGGACTCCTTTTGTAGAATGAATATGTGCATTTGTTGTGTGTGTAGGTATGTGTTTTTATGACTGAATAGATGAACTTATTATACTTTTATGAACTTATTACACTTTATTTAACTAGTTGTTTATTGTTGGGTATTTAGGTCTCTTTCACTTTTTCCTCCTACTTTTATTGAGATATAATTGACATATAATATTTTATTAGTTTAAAGTTTACAATTTAGTGAGTTTATATGTATATATATGAAATGACTAATACAGTAAGTTTAGTTAACATCACTTCACATAGTTACAAATATTTTTGTGATGAGAACATTTAAGATCAACTCTTAGTAACTTTCAAATATATAACACATTATTTTTAACTATAGTAACCATGCTATATAGTTTTAACTCTATATCCCCCAAAATTGCTAATCTTATAAGTGGATATTTGTATCTTTTGACCATTTTCACCCATTTCCCCCACCATCACCAACCACCAAACTGTACTGTTTCTTTGAGTTTGCCTTTTTTTTTTTAATTCCACATGTGAGACCATACACTATTTCTCTTTCTCTGTATGACTTATCTTACTTAGCATAATATCCTCAAGGCCTATTCATGTTGTTGCAGAATGGCAGGATTTTCTTTCTTAATGACAAAATATTATTCCATTCTTTATATAAACCACATTTTCTTTATCCATTCATCCATGCATGGACACTTAGGTTGTTTCATGACTTGACCATTGAAAATAATGCTGCAATGAACATGAAATACATATTTTAGAGAGAGGGGAGAGAATGTGTTATAAAATGGCTTTTACATTTTTCTTAAATTTCACTAAGGTATAATGCTTGAATGATTTCACTAAAAGACTAAATTCAGTAAAAGACTGATTTTGCAAACAAAATCTAGCTGTTAATAAAAAGTTAAGTTTATTCCTTCAAATTATCTTAATGAAGAGAGAGAGAGTAATTAACTTGAATTTTTTCTTGCATGGACTGTTGTCTAAGGAATTAACTCAAAATTTTATATATGAGTCATTTCAATGTTATTACATAATTATGTTAATATTAAGAATTTTATAAATCTATCATCAAATAATAGTGACAGAATTGCTATCATGCAACCAAATTGATATTAAAAAATAGAGACCCTGACCGGGTGGCTCAGTTAGTTGGAGCATCACCCTGTACATCAAAAGGTTGTGGATTCGATTCCCAGTTAGGGCACATACCTAGCTTTCAATTTGATCCCTGGACGAGTTCCGGAGGCAACTGATTAATATTTCTCTCTCACATTTATGTTTGTCTTTCTGTCATTTTGTCTGTGTCTCCCTTTTTCTCCCTTCCTTTCTCTCTGTAAAATTAATAAAAACATATCAAAAAATAGAGGAAAACTATGTACCTCACTTAGGGTGGTGAACACACATATATTTATAGATGATTTATCATGTAATTATACAGCTGAAATCTATGTAGTTTTATTAACCAATGTTAATAAATTCTATTAAAAATACAATAAATCAAAATAAAGGAAAACTCAGTTATTTTCTTATTCACTGTATTTCTCCATCTCTTAATTGTATTTGTTTTTATATTTTGTTTTCCTATAGTCACATTGTTTTTGGAGTTTTGGAAACAGCGTCAAGCCAGACTGGAGTGTGATTGGGACCTGGTGGACTTCGAGGAGGAGCAGCAGCAGCTTCAGCTGAGGCCAGAATTTGAAGCCATGTGTAAAAAGAGGAAAATTAATCCTGTGACTCAGGTAGATTAGGAAACTGAAATGAGCGTCCTATCTCAATGGGCACATTGCTGTAGGTTGTCTCTCAAATAATGGTGTCTATTTTAATTTGCCTTTAAGTATTCTCCAACATATAAATCATATAAACTTATTTACTTACTCTTATATTTCAAACACATAGAAAAGTAGATAGACAAGTAAAATGAACTCCAGGATGAACCCATCACACAGCTTCAATTAATATTAATTCATGGACAATCTTGTTTTATTTATACACCTACTCCTTATGGCCGTTGGATTATTTTGAAGTAAATCCAAAGAATCATATCATGAAAGACATTATTTTAATACCAAGTGCAATTTTAAAAAAATGGAAAACAGTGTGTATGCTCTGGGCTTTAAATATGTGTATAAATATGTATACATGGAACTAAAGATAATATGCAAAAATTAAATTAGTATTGTATTAAGATAGTGGGCTTATGAGTGATTGTTTTATTCAACTAGTCTCTCTTAATTCATTATAATGGGAAGAACATTGCACTGCTATTTGGGGTGAAAGTCTGTATTTTGGGATCCTTGACTGGCAAACCAGCTATGTGGTTGACTGAGTAATTTGACTTCTTGGCACCTTTTTTCATGTGAAAATAGAAGGTACTTTGCCATCAAACACTAGACTCTTGGCTGCATATTCTTAGAGTCCCTACATTTCCATAATCTGTAACCACTTTGTTACCAGATGCTATTAAAGGCAGAAAATAATATGTTTCTAACACAGTCTTTTTAGTAGCATTCCTTACTTTGTTCAGCACACTATTCTTGCAGCATAATACTCAAAATTCTTTACATAATTTAGGCATTCATTTAACATTTATTAAATTGCATTGAAACATTACAAAATTCAATAAATGAATAAAGGGGGAAGAACACCTGAGGAAATACATTAACAACTTGGGTGAAATTAACAGTTTGAAATTATAAAATTATATCACAAGTGATATTGTCATACTAATGATATTGTAGTAGAAGACCAAAGAAATACCAAGCACGCTTCCTAGAGAAAGGGAGGGACCCCATTTATTAACACTAGTGGACTCCAGGAATAATTTCCAAACCAGAGTGAAGAAACATGCAGAGGCTTTGCTTTTTATAACCTTCTGGGATCTTTGTCTTACAGATATGGTTCCGCCCCCTTTCATGGGCTTACAGGAAGGCCCCAGGTGTTGGGGGTCCCCAGGCCATATCCGATGACCTGTCCTGGGGCCAGCGATAACAACCTTCCCCCGCCCGCTCCAGGGCAGTGCATTGTTCACAGTTTTTATGGCCTGACACTCCTTGCAAGACCAGTTTCCTCTTCAATATTATGTATATCTGTTGGGGAGCACATGAGACTTGGTTGGAAAATTGTAAGGAGGACAATCTGAGAAAAGGGAAGTGTGTGGAAGGCCGCCTGCCCTGTTTATCTGAATTCCAACTTAGGGGAGTGCCCAAGGCAGTGCTCCTAATTATTCCTTAATCTTTCCAAAAAAACACCCCCCACCCCCCGGTGTTTACTGGAATCCTTACGCTTAATCCCTGGATGCCCTTGCATAGAGGACAATGTAAATACATGTGTCCTCTCAAGAGTACTCACCCTACTGATTGTATCTTAAAGATAAATTTATCTCAAACTGCTGTTACAATAAAAGGCTAACAAGGCAGGCAATCTAGGCTGCCTGGTCCCTTTGGCCAGGCCATCCCTTAGCCCTCTCTTTCACAGTGAAACTGTGTCAAAGTAATCTGTTCATCCATCATTCACAGGCTGCTGGTCATCCCCGGCATATATCTATTCATATTTCATAGGATAAAATAGAAAATTAAGGCAGGCTTATTGGCTTTGCCAAAAATTTTTGACATGAAAGCCACATGTACTGAATGATTACCTTTCAAACCAATTGAAAAAAAAAAAAACAGTATGTATTGGTTCACTGTGAATTATCCACTTAGCTGTAATGATTTCCATGAAATGGTTTATTACTTAGCTGTAATTATCCACTTAGCTATAATCAGAATTTTTTTTTACTTACTTGCTATGCTTTATTAGTAGTTAAGTACAACCAGAATTCTCACATTTGAGTCCATATTGGGAACACTCATTCATATGTTGACATCCACATACATGCACACATCCTGAGGTACAGTAGAACTCTCAGAGAACCTACTCTACTGTTGATTTCTGTTTCCACTCAGAAAAATATACCAAAAAATGCAAAATCTTCTATTTTAAATAGAATTATATAATTTAGGTTTCTGCTTTTTTTTTTTCTATATGGCAGTATTATTTTGGGTAAAATCTAACTCTTTATGTAGCTAAGAATGTTAGCTGATTTAATTAATATCTTCCATTAATGACTTAACAAGCTTAAAAATGGAAAAGTTTGGGCCCCTGAACATTGTGAAATCCTATAAATATAAAGAAGGCATCCTATTTAATATCATGCAGAGCAATTACAGAGTTAGAATCCTATTAATAAAACCTATATATAATATGCAAATCGATTGAACGGCCTAATGACTGGTTGATATGATGCGACCACCAGGGGGAAGACACTCAATGCAGGAGCTGCCCCCTGGTGGTCAGAGTGCTCCCACGGGGGGAGGGCCGCTCCTTAGCACAGGGGCGGTGACTGGAGCCTTTCCTGCCCCCGCTGAAGGCAGGCGATAAGGAGCGAGGGGTCCCAGACTGGGAGAGCCTTGAACTTCGAGAGGGATGTCCGGCCTCACCCGGCCCCCCCCCCCCCCCCCCCCCCATCTCCCTAAGCCGGTCAGACATCACACCAAGGGGTCCCAGACTGCAAGAGGGTGCAGGCCAGGCTGACGGATGCCACCCCATCGCCCTGCCCCACTGCCGCCAGTGCATGAATGTCATGCATCGGGCCTCTAATGGAATTTTAACATCATTAAAGTGTCTACTTAAGCAACTGCCCTCAGATTTTGACTTTATTTCCTATCTACTTGAATACCACTCTAATTCAACACTCAGGAAATAGTGTGTACTCATTATGTCTCATATCACATGTAAAATATCTCAGCTAAGAGTGCTGAAGTATTCTACCTAAAGGGAAGGGACCATTGCTAAAATGTAGCTTCCCATGAGCTATACTGGACCCTTTTGGGAGGTTTTGGGAGGTTTCTTATTTAACTGGTCTTTGTGATTTTGACTACTACTTGGAATCCCAAAATTGTGGGTAGATTCTGAATTTTGCTGTGATTTCTTCAAAATTATAGGAGATGGAGCCTCACATGCCTCTGAAGAATCGGATTCCATGGTACTTCTTATCAGGAGCCACAGTAACGTTATGGGTAAGCATTTTAAAAAAACATTAGGATTATCTCAACAGTTTAATCTGAAACAGCCCTTAAGTCCCTTCCTTACTTTTCTCTCCACAGCCTTTATATTAAATAGAGCTCTTATATAAAATAAACTGTAATTTACATGGATGCACCATAGTTGAACCTTGGAAAAATAGTTAGGGTGAGAGAGAGAGGTGCTTTATCTTAGAGCCTGTCCCTCCCTCTTTCCCAATTTTATTGCAAATTATTTGGCTAGTTTTTTATGTTTTTTTTTAAATCATTAGTTTATCTTTATCTCCACTTAAAATATTTGCACAAAGAGAAGAAAACACAAAAGAAAAATGTTACTTCATCTACGTGAAGAATTTAATTATTATATCCCATTTTGAGGGAATCAGGTTTTCTCCATGCCTTTTAGCTAAATGATTCCTCGATCACCATAATCTATTTTCTGCCCTCCCTTTTCCAAAAGTGTTCTTTCTTACAATTGGACTTTAATTTTAGAAAAAGAAGTATATTACCCTCTGAGAGTTTAGCATGTTGAAGTATAAAAAATTAGCAATTGTAGACTACAGCTTAACTTCACCAGTTCATAATTTCTTACCTTTAACATTTCTTATTGAAAGTATTGACTTTTCTATTTTAAATTTGCATTTTCTTAGATAATATAAAAATCATTAAAGAAAGACCATAGAATAAAGGAGGTGACAATCAATTTGGGACACTCCTAGAGAAATATTCTGAAGTGGTGTCCAGAAAGATTATTCTGTCTTTTATTTCTATTATTTATTCAGTTTGGTTCAGTTCCTCAACTTTCAGAGTAAAATTCTCCAATCATTGATATAAAGCCATCCCCAGATCTTTGTGGGTTTTTTTGCAATATGGGAAGTATACAAAATTTATACCAAACAGATGCAAATATCTGAACTGTCTGGTTTATCAGGCCACTAATGGCAACATTCTGAGGGGAAATGAAATACAATCTTTAAATGTACTTTTCTTGGGAAAGTAAGTCATCTTCATGCTACATGTTTAACTACAATCTAGAGCAGAAGTTGGAAAACATTTTTAGTAAAGAGGCCAGATATATTTTAGGCTTTGTGGGCCAGTCACTGGCACATAATTCTCTTTATTTTTCTTTACAACCTAAAAAATGCAAAACACATTCTTTTAAAAAAATGTTTTTATTGATTTCAGAGAGAGGAAGGGAGAGGGAGAGAGAGAGATAGAAACATCAATGATTAGAGAGAATCATCCATTGGTTGCCTCCTGCACGCCCCCTATTGAGGATTGAGCCTGAAACCTGGGCATGCCCTGATTGGTAATCAAACCATGTCCTCCTGGTTCATGGACCTACACTCAACCACTGAGCTACACCAGCAGGCAAAACACATTCTTAACTCGAGGGCCATGCCAAACTGGTAAGACAACAGGCAGAATTTGGCTTTCTGGCTAGTTTTCCTGTATCTTGCTAGAGTATGGACCATGAATACTTTTCCATTTTAGACTTACCTCGCTACCATATGCTTTATCTCTAACCCTTTTACCTTACCAGTGTTCATTTCCTGCCATTGGTGATGAGAGAGACTTGGTTTTCTTTCCATGTCAGAGCTGCTAAGCATAACAGAATGAGATGAAGAGAAGAGTATGTTACAGATATAATACGAGGACCAGAGTGACCAATTCTGTTTTCCTTCTGCAGATGTCTCTTGTCGTTGCCTGTTTGGTGGCTGTGATCGTGTACCGCCTGTCAGTCTTTGCTACATTTTCCAGATTCATGGAAACTGAAGCATCCTTAAAGCATGTCAAAAGTTTTCTCACTCCTCAGATAGCTACAGCACTCTCTGGGTCATGCTTAAACTTTATTGTCATCTTGATCTTGAATTTCTTTTATGAAAAGATATCTGCCTGGATTACAAAGATGGGTAAGCTGACTCTTTACTATGGCTCTGAAAAAGGGTCACTAGCAACACTACACATTCATTCTGGATCAACCCCCAGGGAGCTAATTTTTTAAAAGCACATTTTAAGTCAATTTGGTTCCATAGGTAGACCCATAGCCTGGTACTTCAGAATGCCCTAACCGCTATATCCAGGCCATCATAATGGAAGCAAGACAACGAACTAAAAAGAAGAATTAGGACTTTGTAGATCTTTTTACGTATTCTTATCTTAATTGTCCTTTCATGGGGCTAGTTCAGTGATGGTGAACCTATGACACGCGTGTCAGAGGTGACACGTGAACTCATTTTTTTGGTTGATTTTTCTTTGTTAAATGGCATTTAAATATATAAAATAAATATCAAAAATATAAATCTTTGTTTTACTATGGTTGCAAATATCAAAAAATTTCTATATGTGACACGGCACCAGAGTTAAGTTAGGGTTTTTCAAAATGCTGACACGCCGAGCTCAAAAGGTTCGCCATCACTGGGCTGGTTGAATCCTAAGTAAAATCCTCACTTTTCTCAAGGCAAAGAGAGTTTTTATTTCATGTACATGACTTTTAGAAGGTATTTGGTTTTTAAAAACATCATGAGAACAATCAGCTTCTCCTTAATAAATCTGAAATGTAGTGCCTCTCTTTTCAGTTGCAATATCTTAGAATCTAGATTATTTTCTATTTAAGATATTGAATGTCCCCCTAAAGCAGTGGTTCTCAACCTTGGCTGCACATTAGAATCACCTGGGAATCTTTTTTAAATCCTGAGTTCTGGGCCTCATTCTCCGGAAATTCTGTTTCTTTGTTATGGGGTGGGGCCACAACATTAGTAACAAAGAAACAGAATTTCCGGAGGATGAGCCCCAGAAATCAGGATTTTAAAAAGATTCCCAGGTGATTCTAATGTGCAGCCAAGGTTGAGAACCACTGCCCTAAAGCCATGAGGAAAGGTGAAGGCATCACAGGTGAAAGAGTCTCAAGTGAAGTGGTCACAGGTGAAGTGGGAGACTGAGCCAGGGAGAATAGCACGGAGCATAATTGCTCCTGATCTTGCCCCAGCAAGTTGGAAATAGATCAGAGACTCAGCTCAAGGTCTCAGCTTCTTCTCTGAGTGCTCTTTGTTCAGGAGCTCCTCCTCTAAACCGGCCACTGAAAGGCCCAATGTGACCCAATAGAGCACCTCTTCCACCCAGGACTGGAGCGAGCACTGGGCAGCCACTTTCTTTAACTATGACCCTCCAATTTGGAGTTCTTCCCCCAATTATATTTGTATTTTTCTGGTAGCAACAACAAAAATATCACAGCAGATAACACCCAAAACTAAAATACTTAAAAATAGCAGCTTTCTTCTATGAGAAAAAGCACTTGTGTTCACTTTTGAGATTTTGTAAGAATGCACCTAAAATGGAGGTGTTCTCTGTCTTTAGAATAATATGTGTATTTCAGCATCACTGAAAAAGTCATGGATTTTGTTGAATTGGGAGATCATCAGCTCAGAAAAACATGCTCTTTTATGCCTAGTGATGCTTTACTGTGGCATGAAGAGAATCTAATATTTTCTTATTTTGGAATTCATTAAATGATAGATCGTAATAAGGAGAAGGAAAATATATGCTATTACTGCCACCATTTGTGTCACATGGCTTTAAAATTTTACATAGCTACTAGTGACCCAGTGCATGGATTCAGGCACATTGAAAAGAAATTAATTAGAAGGTGGCCAGTGGGGCAGGACTGGGCGAGATGGGCCAGACAACCCTTGGAGCCAACCTCCCGCGGTCCCTCCCTGGCCGGCCACACCGGGGGTGGCATCATGGCTTGAAAGGTGTCTATGGAGTGAGTGAGCTCCCTTTGGCAGGTGGGGTCCCTTGGCCTGGCCTGTGGGGATCGGGCCAAAACCGGCTCTCCAACATCCCCCGAGGAGTCCTGGAGTGTGAGAGGGCACTCTGCAAAGTTGCTGTCATACAGGGTGTGGAATGCAAATGCAAGGGTGCACTAAACCAGATTTGGGGCCAACAGTGCCCCAGCAACAACATAACTCATGACTGAAGGTGGAATCGCTTGGCCCCGTGAGGAATCGGGCTCCCTCCTCTCTGGTTTCAGGGTGTGTTACCCAAGAACCGCTGCTGCCAAGTCACTGCAGCTCAACAGCTCCTGCATTGAACATCTGCCCCCTCTGGTTGTCAGTGCATCATAGAAGCTGGAGGGACACTTAGCATATTAGTCTTTTATATACATAAATTTAATTCATGAAATGAAAACACAAATTGGTTTGCAAATTATCCTCTGCCCTTGGTATGAGCTTACTTTGCTTAAACCTGATTGAAAACAGAGAGAGAGGGAGGAGGAGAGAGAGAAAAAAAGAGAAATCTCCCAAGTTTACAGGATATATAGTTGTGGGGATGAGCACAGGCTCTTCAGTCTGATATGGATGGGAATTCCATATTCTGATTGTGCGACTCCAGGCCAAGTATCTCACCCCTCTAAATGTAACACTGACCACTTCCTAGCTTCCCTGGTGATTAGATCAACACAAAGTCTCTAGTAGGCAGCCTAGCACAAGTCTATAATTAACTAAGTATTGGTGTATTATGACCAGAGTGGGAAACATTTCAACAGGCTCTCAGAAAAATGTGACTAGATATCCACTTATCCCAGGGACTAAAAACTTTAATAAGAAACAGGAAAGTGCACTGTTAAACATTGGTGTTTTTTACTTACCAGAAATCCCTCGAACTTACCAGGAGTATGAAAGCAGCCTGACCTTGAAAATGTTCCTGTTTCAGTTTGTAAATTTTTACTCATCATGCTTCTACTTAGCTTTCTTTAAAGGGAAGTTTGTGGGCTATCCTGGAAAGTACACATATTTGTTTAATGTGTGGAGAAGTGAAGAGGTAAGAACTCTCTTGAGAAGCGAGGTTTGTTTTTTCAATAACTCAGTGTTAACCAAATACCTTTTTTTGTGCCCAGCACAAACTCAAATTTACTCAAATTGGAAGAAAAGTATAAGATACTAACTCTGTCTGCAGAGAATATTGGTTTTAGAATTCTGTCATCTAATAGATCTCCCTGTTCCTTTAGGGCAAGAAGTTATTTTTTCTTATTGTTGGTATCAAAAAATGAGCTGCAAAATGGAATAAGTGAGTTCTATGTTCCCGAAGGCTTCCTGCAAAGGAAGAATGATAACTCTCTCCAAGTACAGCAGAGAGGACTCCACCATGGGTGTGAGCTAGGTCAGATCAGTGGTCCATAAATCTGGCTGTGCATTCAAATCACATGGAGAAAAATAACAACTTCTGCCCTAACTCAGACATAAAGATGCAGAATTTTCTGAGAATGAGATCCACAAATGTTTTATTAACACAGCTGAGTCTAATGCAGCTATCCTAGCACTACTCTGTGATCATGCTTGGACTATTGAGCTAAATATCACTTTATATCCCATTAGTATCCATTTCAACCCAAATCTTCAGATTCTTATCCTCTGAATTTATTTCACTGCAAAAGTTTTGTCTTTCATCATTCACTTCTCTTTGCACCCTTCCCTTCTAACTAGTGTGACCCTGGAGGCTGTCTAATAGAACTGACCACCCAGCTGACCATTATAATGACTGGGAAACAGGTCTTCGGAAACATTCAAGAAGCCGTTTATCCGTATGTATGACTTAGAAGTTTTTGCTTGATTTAAGTAATCATGAGAGATTTCCTCTGGAAGAAGATGAAATTCTTCTATTATCGTGGTGCCTTTGTTAGCAATGTTTAAGTCAATGAAAAAGAAACTTCACATTTAATCAACAGTTGAATGCATTAAGGTATTACAGGCTTTTAAATATGCATCACTGTTGCTTGAGTTGAAGTTGAGGGAAAGATAATTATGCCCCTTTTTAGGAAGATTTATGTATCATATCATCTATAGATTATTCTGCATGTTATATAGTCACAAATTGAACTCTGTAATAGTATCTATTTTTCATGGACACATTTAGGCAAAAATTGGTCATGAATGAAATACAGATACATGAAAGGTTTGCTTTCTATTCCAAAAGCATAGCAATATGAATACTTTTTAAAAAGTGAAAACCAAAGTAACAGTTGATATCAAATATAAGATGAAAATTCCCATGGATAAAAAGAGGAAGAATCATAAGCCTGTAATCTTGCAAGGCTCCTAGTTAGGAAATGACAGTGTCAGGTTTGTTTAGCACTTGTAGTATAAAGTGCTCTATTTATTTGTCTATTTTATGTGATCATGCACACTCTTTATTTTGTTCTTGGTTTTAAAGGGAATGTTTTTAACTTTTCCCTATTAAGAATGATGTTCGCCCAAAATGTTGCTTATGATCAGATAGAGATAATTTCCTTCTTTTCTACCTTTTTGTCATAAATAGGTGCTTGAAATATATCAAATGTATTTTTCTGCAGCAGTTGACATGATTTTATATTCTTAAATCTGTTGGTGTGGTTTATTACATTGATTGATAAGTGATTGATTAATAAAATAAAAAAAATCTTCTTGTTTCTTAAAGTAATCCAACATTATCATTATACTAGGAGCCCGGTGCACAAATTCTTGTATATTAAAAGGAAATTAATTAGAAGAAATATTTTAATATGGCTATTCACCCTTTCTCTATAATAGAAGTGTCAACCAAATTCATGATCGATAATGATAGATTGAAATACACGTGTGTGTTTGACGCCAGCAAGAGTTTTATATGTATCGCGCGTGTGCAAGTCAACTTAGCCTTTTATAGATATAGAATAAACTTGATTAATTAGACCTGCTTTCTGATTTAGCTTAACTTTTTCCAGCCCAGTGAAGCACCC